TTAATAAAAAATAATATAAATTTTAACTTTTAATGTAAAAATTAAAAATTAACCGTGCAACGCACGGGCAAAAAACAACTAGTTTTATAAAAACTATCATACTGCACAAATTATTAAATAAGATGGAATCTTTTTATCTACTCATTTCTATAATTTATATTGCGCAACCCTAATAAAACCAAGGAATTTCCGCAAGTCGGAAAAAAAAAAGGGTTTAATGCCATTAAAAATCCTCTAACTTTAGAAAAAGGGGCTATTGTCATCTTTTTACTTTAAAACAATTCATAATAATCCCCCCAACTTTAGAGAAAGGGCCAACTATAATCCCTCCATTGACAGACGGTATAACACCGTCAATTCATCCGTTGAAATCCTCCCGGCAAATGACATTAGTTGGCCTTTTAACTTTTAATTCTTGTGCATTTTGATCTACAAACTTCAAATTTATTCAATTTAATCTCTAATTTTCAACTTTTTTTTTTAATACAATTTGGTTTCTAAACTTTTAAAAGGGATGCATTTAAATATGAACATTTCTAATTTCATGCATTTTGGTAATTTTTGTATAAAAAATAAAAATTAAGGAACATTTAATGAAATTTCATTTAAATGTTTAATTTGTTCAAATATTAATAAAATTAATCTTAAAATACTAAATTAAAATATATAAAATTTATATATTATCAAAGTGTAAAATTAAGTTTTTGATACCTAATTATTCTAAAAATGTCTTTGATACTCGATTTAAAATTTTGTGAAATACCACAATCAAAGTGGTGAAGATATATATAAATTTCATCTAATCAAAGTGAAAAATCGCATTTTTAATGTCTAATTTGAGATTTTTAAAAATAAAAAAATGAAAATTTGTTAGTTATATATACATAACTCATATCAAGAAAAAAAAAGGAACAATATTATGGAAAAAAAAAAAACAAAGGTTATATAAGAGATGCTTGAATTCTTTTTATTGTTATATACTCATAGTTATAGAAACATCACCTAAAGTCATCATTAGTCTACGATGTTTGTATAACCACATTTACACCACTCACAAGTCATACCCACATCCTTCATAGTTTCACTATTTTAGTTACTGTTCAAAAAAAAAGTTTCACTATTTCAATTATTGCACTTTATAGGATTTCAAATTGGACATTGAAGATATTTTTGGGATAAATGAGTGTCAAAAAGTTGATTTTACACTTTGATTATATGAATTTTATATATTTTTGTTTACTATTTCATATTTAATTTTATTGATAATTGAATGAGTTAAATATTTAAATTTAATTTTATTGAAAATTATATGATTTTTATTATTTGTAAAAAAATGGACCAAAATGCATGAAATTAGAAAGTTTAAGATTTTAACGCATCTCTTTCAAATGGGAACTAAATTGTAATTAAAAAAAAGTTGAAATTGAGGATTAAATTGAATAAATTTAAAGTTTGAGAATCAAAGCATACAAGAACTGAAAGTTAAAGGCCAACTAAAAGTCATTTTACCACAGGTGAATTGACGGTGTTAGACCGTCCGTCAATGGAGAGATTATGGTTGGCTTCTTCTCTAAAGTTGACAGATTATTGTGAATTATTTTAAAGTAGAAGGATGATAATGCTTATTTTATAAAGTTAGAGGATCTTTAATATCATTAAGCCAAAAAAATAGTGACACGTGCATACATCTCAAACTCACCAAACTGACGTGCGTAGCTGAAGACCCAAAAGCCAAAGCCAAAGCCAAACGCAAACAGCAGTGTCCTTCCAGCTCTGCCGGGTCTAGGGATTGAAACACAACTCTCTTTAAATTCTGAAAACCCTAGAAAAAGCCTTTTCTTTTTTCTACATAATCAACTGCTTTTTCTACTAATAACGTGGCACGGAATCGATTCACGGTCATCCAGAATTTGAATTCAAGGTTCGATTTTGAGTTTCAATCTCGGTCAACTTTTTTGCTTACTTTAAAATTTCAATTCAATGTATGCGTATTCTATGTTTGGATTGTTTTTCTGTGTTCATTCTATGTGATTGAAGTAAATTATTGATTCTAATTAGTTTTTTTTTTTTTTTTTTTTGAAATTTTATGTAATTTTTTTGGTCTTTAATTGGTTGATCATAGTTGATTGCTTCGCTTAAGTATGTGGAGTTGAATTGGATTTAAAATTAGGTTTTTTTGATGATAAAGTATGGTGACTGATGATTTTCCAGTTAAAAAGAAAAAAAAATAATAATAAAGGAAAGTATAAATTGAATTATTGAATTTATTTCATTTGATTGGAGTTAAGGATGATGTTTTTTAATGCTAATGTATGAGTTTTTCTAGGATTTAATCGGACAGGAAATTTCTGTTGGTGTATTTTTATCTTAAAGTTGGAGAATGAACGCTCAGGAGGTGAGATGGCCACCACTAAGAGGATATAGGCGGAGGAAGAATTTGCCCGATCTAAATTCTCCACCAATTGAAAGTGGGGATTTGGGGGATTCTTCGAATCAGAATTTGTCTCAGGGAGTGCAAATTAGCCAACCAGCGCAGCCTGTGCAACCAGCTCCAATTGATGTTGAGGCTATTGATGATGATGTTGTTGAATCATCCCCTAGGGCCTTTGCTGAAGTATGCTTGTCTTTCTTAGGCTTGTTTTGTACCTATTCTTTATTTGCTTTTTCAATTTTAATTTAGATTCATTGTGCCAAAATAACCTCTATGATTTTTATTTTATTTTTCATCTCAGGCAAAAAACAATTTGAGGAGGACCCGTGGAAGGACTATTGTGGTTGATCTAGATTCAGGTAATGAAATTTGATTCCTTTTATTTATTTATTTATTTAATTAGTGTTTCCGTAATGTCTTCTTTGTGGTTGAATCCTTAGATTGCATGGTTTCACTCACATCAAGCTCTATTGCAGGACGAACTAGTAGGGTCACCAATAGTAATCGTCCCAAGCGCAGAAGAAATCCTACAAATCAACCTGTAATTAACTGTGAAGAATACATAAATTTAGAAAGCAGTACACAATCTAAGGTAATAGTTCTGCTAATAATTCCAGAACCTGTGTGCCTGCGTTTCCATGTCTGTGTATTTCTTGTTGGATTTAGGCATGTATATTTTTATGCCATTTATGCATGCAGGTGCTTGCTCTATATTCTTCTTTTTTATCATTAGTGAATGAAGACTGGAAACTCATTTGTTTCACTGGCAGAGACAGAATGTTATGGAGCCTCCAGTACCTCAAAAAGAACCAACCTTCACTTGTCCAATTTGCATGGGTTCGTTAGTTGAGGAAATGTCTACAAGATGTGGTCACATTTTCTGCAAGAAATGCATTAAATCTGCAATATCTGTGCAGGCCAAATGCCCTACATGTAGGACAAGAGTCACCGTGAAGGAACTAATTAGGGTCTTCCTTCCATCAACCAGTGCAGTATGAGGTTCACACCCAACAACTAGTAGTGTGAGTTTGCTTGAGTGTGTTTTTATTCCCTTTTGAAATTTCTAATAAGGAAACTAAATGTCAACTAGAGAAAGTGAGTCCCTCTGGACATTGATATTCAAGATGCATGTGCAGATATTATTTATGCTGCATCTCACTGCAGTGCTCACATGGATTGGAATTTCTAAAACCATTCATGGAAATTAACTTTGGAAATTATTGGCAAAATGGTAGGAAGTTCAATTAAACATTGTATATATAGCTTGAAGGGGTAAAAACTAGAAAGGGGTGGATGTTTATTGCTCATATAGATGTGCATTTAATTTAGAATTATTAAAAAAATACTTCAATTGGTAAAAAGTTTATTTGCCATGCATAATACATGGAAATTGGAACTTTGGTTTCTGTCTTTGGGAGCTAAGAGTACTCATACAGATGCAGAGTTTTTCAGCTTTGGCCTTATTATTTTGAAGATTGTCTACAGAAGTAATGTCTATGATGGATCTTTTTTAATTTTTTGGATAAAGTACATGGACATTAATTATCTATAATGTGCTATATGGAACTCATCTAATGGGTTTCACCTTATGCATGCCAGTACGTGAAATTTTCACATTCTGGCCTCCTATGCTCAAATTCTGTACTACTTACAGTTGATAACAATTGTGGAAGCTATTTTTTTGTCAACCAATCTTATACATTTCTTCGTCAATGGAATATCTGTGCTTTGTTTTAATTGCTGATAGGTTTTCCTCTCTATGAGTTGTGACAGGGATGATGAAAACTGTTTTGCAACAAGAAGAGAATGGAACAGTGCTTTTGGCATGTCAATGGGACTCTTAACTTTGTGAACTTTGAAAATTGTCTAACTTGTTGCACCGTCACTACCATGTTTAGTGGATGGTCATTTCCATTAATCATTTCAAAAGCACCTACATGTTGGATGAATGAAAATCTAGCTTTATACGTGCATGTCTGTTTAATCAATTGTACACATGCATGGATATCTTAGTACAATTAGGTTAACCATGTTTTGTTGCCTGCATAGCATGCTATGCTTATGTTCATTAACTGATAAAACATGTGAAAATGGCATCTGGAGGGTGTCGTGAATTGTACTGCAATGCAATAGTTATTATTGAGAGTGAGGATGAAGAGAGGAGACAATTTTTATTCATGTGCTAAGCCATTACAACAACATTGGTAGAACCATCACTTGTTAACCACAACTAACAGAGCAAACTTTAGCAAGAAGCCAGTGCCCCTAGTACACACTTATTAATATCTACAAAAACCATTGTCTGCATTCCATTATGAGCATGAGGAGTGAGCAATGACGCTGCTGGCACCACATTTAGTTATTTCTTAAGCTTTGTATGCCCCAAGACAAGGAAGCAAACTACAGCATCCTCCAAGCCAGGGCTTAAAGAATGTAAATGGCAAGGGAAATGGCCAGCCAAGTCCAAAAGGGCCTCCCAAACCAAGCAGATGCTGGGGACTGTAGATGCCATCTTTCCTAGGCAACTTTCTTCCTCCTTCAATGCCCAAGACAGCTACCATCAGAGAGACGAGCAAAACAAGTATTGCCTCTGTGACTTTCCTCTCCATTGTGAACTCTTTGCTCTTCCTCTCTCACCCTTTTGCTTGCACGCAATTGTCTCAATGACTCCCCCTTTTATATTGCAAGTTGCCCATTATGCATTGGAACAAATGATTAGGTTGGTGGCTGTGTTTAATGTCATGTGATCCATCACTTCCATACCTATTTTCGAATTAGGTGGTTCTGATGGTCATAAACAAATCTGTTTAGTAATTTCACTCATTGCCTTTGGCCCCTTGGATTAAATAGGTCAAAGTTGGGTTTTATTTTGAAACAAACATTTCTCATTTTCCATTCTTGTGGATTTATTTTGACAGCTGAAACTTCGAATTTTGGGGTTGGAAAGAAATAATTAGACTAGCTGGTGCAGAGAGGAGTGCCTATCTGCATGCTCAAATTGCAGTATTTGTTTTGGTCACTGCCAACCTAACTGATAAACTGATGGAAAAGTTCAAATGATACTCTCAGCTAACAATTCAAGCAAATTGATCCAAGGGTTTTTGTTTTCAACTCATAATTTGGGGAATAAACTTCAAATTTGGATAGGGATGACAATTTTCTTGATTCTCATGGTAATTGTGGGAATTCCTTATTGTGGGGCCTAGTGATGGAACTAAAGAGGCCTCGGGTTGGGCATAGGCCCCACCTTGGGTCTCCAAAAAGAAAAGGTTAAACTCCCAATTTGGTTCATGAACTATTGTATGTTTCTTGAATTAAAAAAATCTCTTATTTGATTCTTGAACTAAAAAATCTCTTATTTGGACCATATTATTTACCAATTTGTCCCAAATTGGTTTTTTTGTAAGAAAAAACCAACGTGTTCGTTACTTAACAACAAAAAATAGTAACTTAAAGATCACGTGTTACGTTAATAACAAAACACGTCAATTGGTTTTTGTATGGAAGGACTAACTTTGGGTAAATTGATAAATAGTAGGGACCAAATCAGGAGTCTGTACAATAGTTTATGGACCAAATCAGGAATTTTTTTAGTTCAAGGACCAAATCGAGGTCCGTACAATAATTTAGGGACTAAATTGGGGATTTAACAAAAAAAATGGTAAAGGAAAAGAAAAGGCCTAGGGGAAACAGGCCCTACCTTGGGCCTAGGCATTTATATGTATTTTTAGATCCTTAACCATTTTCCGGTGATTTTATGCTATATTTTATAAATGGCAAGTGGCACTAACATTGACAACAAATAGACCACATATGTATTTGTGTTTAGCAATTTTTTTGGACAAGAAATAGCAGACTTTGTAGTTTGGGGTGGAAGTAGGGTTGCTAAAATCTCTAGTTGAGTCAAGTTCTTAGGTGCTCATGTTCGAGTTAGTCATAAGTATTTGAGTTTGACTTTAACTTGAACAGTTATATGTGAAACTTAAAATAGTTGAAGTTATGTTCAAACTCATAATTAATCAAGCAAGCTCAAGGAGTGAGTTTTTTAGCTTAATTTGAGTGTTTTTCTTGTAATATCAAATTGTTTTAGCAATTAATTAATCATTCAATCATAAACTTTTTTACATTTTTTCATGTTATGAAAAACTTAAACAAGAGAATTATATTAAGTTCAGTAGTAAGAAAAAAGAAGAGTATTTATTAGCTAAACTTCTAAAAAATTAGGAGAAATATTCTAAAACTATGTTGTTTTAATAAACTTTCATTAAAAAAACTAAAATAACTTATTTTAAAGTAGGAATGAGATTGTTTTAGTCTTTTTTGTGGTATTTTATTGAAACAAAGCTATTTTATGGTGTTTTTCCTCCTAATTTTTTTGAGATCCAACTAATAAATACGTTACTAAAAAAGGCCATAAACTTCTTTTAAATTTTTTATTTATAGTTCTAAAAAACTCAAAATAAATAAATTATTTAAGTCACATTTTAGTTTTGTTAGATTTAAAAGTTACTATATATTTAAATTGTAATAAGGTTAAATACCTTTTTTGGTCCCTTTGTTAAATTTTTACTGATCTGTCACGTTAATTAATGCAATCACTTGATTATATTTTACATAAATTATATTATAAATGACGTGAAAATTACGTGGATAAATTTTTAAATCTTGTAAGCATTTCATCTAAATATTTTGGGTCACCTATACAAATTAAAAATTTTACTTCTTAATTCATAAATTAAATGAGTTTAAACAGAATTAACTTTAATTTCTTCATCTTCTCCTCTCTCTTCATCCTTGACATCATCATGTCATTGTTTATCTTCGCCATCCTTTTCGCCATCCTCTTCATCATCCTGGGTTCCTTACCAAACCTAGTTTTTGGGAACCCAAGTTCTAGGTTCATTATGAAACCCAGATCGTATTTGATATTTGGGTTTGAAACTGCAAGTGATAGTTTCATGTTGTTGTGTTCATGTTGTTAAGAACTTCATAACTTGGTTCATCCATGACCTAGATTTAATAGGAA